TTGATTAATTTAAACTTTTATAGAAAGTTATAGAGAGGAAGCTTCCAGCTGGACATTGGGACAGTTCACTCCAAAAATAACATTAATAGTTTTACCATAAACGCATCTACAGACCTGCAAACGATCAATCATGTTACAGGAGATAAAATCTGGGATGTGTTCAGGTAAAAAAAAATAAAGATTTCAAGAACTTCTAGAGTTTCTAAGGTGCTTGTGGATCTTTGCCACTTTTCTACTGAACTGGTAAGTTAAAGGCTTGGTTTGGTTGGCTTTATCAACCGGTCGCAAACAGTACAGAGAGAGAGAGGGGGAGGGAGCCCCTGATCTCAACTCACTGGATTAGCCTGTTGGTAGTATGGGGTGGAGTAAAGGAAGAGGTCGCCATATTGGTACTCCCTAGTTAGACCGGTCGCAGTGTAAACAATCTGTGCGCCACATGTTCTCTTTTTCAGGGGGACTTAAGACTTTTAAAATAAAGATAAATTAATCACTTTGACACAGACTGGCTGTTTCATAGCATCACTAGATGACTTTAACTTAGAATTAAAAACAAAATAGGCCCATCACATTGCATAGTTATTATGAAGTCTATAAATCATGTAATACAAAATATACATATCCATCACAATAAAGTTAACAATTTAATTTAGCATAACACTACAGATGTGCCTGATGATCCCGAGTAATAAAACCAGTTTTTATAAAGCATCTTCAAATAAAGTGCTTCAGTTAACAGAAGATAAAAACATAGTGCAATATAGAAAGAAAATATTGGTAAAATAACATAAGAAAGACAGCCCAGAGAAACAACAACACTCTGGACATAGAATTAAGATGCAGCTGATGCATCTGTTGTGAATGAATGAATGCAGGAGGATTTCTCTCTGAATGTGTGCCAGTCGTAGGAATCTTCCTTTTAACAAGCCTTGCTGATTTGAACGAATCCCCGAAGCGTTGCTTATCCGTCCTGCTGGTAGAGGCGCAGGCTTCATCACAGGGAACAGAAGTAATCGTGCACAGGAAAAGCCGCGCCTCCAGCCAGGGCTATCCCCAGACTGTCTCCAACACTGGCGGTTGCCATGGCGAACTCTCTG